TCTACTGGATATTGGGTTCAGGTTTTGGAGCTGAAGATATAGAAGATTTTTAAGATTGTTTATTTAGATTTAGGGTTAGAGGCTTGGGATACGAGGTTATGAAAGTATTCAGCTATGCAGAGCGGAGGGACATCGGTATATGGTTTTATTGAAATTTCCTAAGAAACTTTTTTTTTTAAATATTACAATCTGTATGTAAGAACATAATAGTCTCCAGGCAGCACATTTACACTCTATGTACAGTAAATAAAAAATAATTAAAACTAAGGGTATATAAACATAAAATAAAAACTAAACTAATCAAAATATTTATTTAATGTTTTGTTGCTTCTACTCTGCAGGGTCATTGGCAACACCTTCAAATTACACTCTGTTGTAGAATTTTATCGCTTTTAAGAATCTCAAATTTTTTTTCCATGTCATGTCGATTTTCTTTTAGGCTCTGTTCCATGTCCAATTTTTTCCTTGTAGTTTCAAATATGGGGAAGTTTTGTATAATATGCTTTACTGTTCTTTGGACATTGCAGCTCTCGCAGATCGGCGATTCAATTCCTTTTAGTAGGTTGGAGTGCGAGAACTCACAATGTGTAATTCGTAGTCTGCAGAGGGATTCTTTTCTAGAGGATCGGTGAGAGGTTTCCCATTTTAAACAGTGCGTTTTAATTTTATTTAATTTCGATTCTCTTTGTCTCCACTTGTTTTGCCACACATGTTCCACACATTCTCCTTAATTTTTTATTTACGTAATCATCTAGCTGGATTTCATTAATTAATTCCACGGGTGTTGTTTCTGGCTAATTGCCATGTTGGCTACTTTATCGGCTTGTGCATTACCCATAATGCAAAGGGATCCAAATGAACACTACTTCTTTGCCCTTCTCCCTTAGTAACCACCAAACATTTCTTATTTCTTTTGCAAGAGTGGTTTTGGGCCTGGTTCGTTCAATGGATAGTAATGAACTCATAGTCTGTCATAACTGCCCAACTGGTAGTTTCACTTGTCTCTATGTGTATAAGAGCTTCTTTAATTGCTAGCATTTCACAAGTAAATACTGAACAAGCCTTCGGAAGTGTGAATAGTTTTTGAATATTATAATTTATATCCTATCTACTTGTGAAGCATCCGTATACAAGATGTTACACTCTTTGTATTTTTCTAAAAATAGATTTTAAACTTCTACTGGAAATGCAATATCCTTTTTATATCTGGCAATTGAGGTACCTACAGTTGGTTTGACATTGGTCCAATGGGGAATTATTATATCCATCACATCCAGAGAATTTTCAATGTTTAGATCCGAAAAATGATCGAGTAGTGTTTCTACAAAGTTTTTCTTCCTCATATTAACTGTTTCCTCATTACAGAATAATACTTTATTTAGTATATGTCTTGAGTTAGTCTTGATTTTAGGACCATACATAATGAAAATAATACCTTAAATACAAAAATGCTTGTATAGAATATTTAAAAAAATTCGTTAACTCAGAGAAACTCCAGGCCTCCACTCGTTGAAGGAAAGGCAACACTCAAGGGGATCCCACTGCCTCTCACTCAGTCGTATCACTGGTATTAAGGACCAGTGGAGGCTGAGCAAAGGCGATATAAAAGACGTACATGGCTAACCATTGCCAGAACTCCAATATATGCTTACTTACAAAAGATCTGCGGACCAATGCTGCTTCAACCTTTGGAGATGTTTGTAGAGGTGGGTGGAGCTAGATACTGATTGTGCAAGTGTATTTGGATGATATGTAAGGTTTTGGAATTTGGAAAATTTTGTAGGATAAGGTCAAGGACAAATGGGATAATAAGGACATGGTGTAGGATTTTGTTTATTACATATAACAGAAAATTAACTTTTGGCTGAAAGGATTGAATGCGTTTAATGTCATAAAATTGTATACCCCAGAAAAGTTCCAGTCCGTAGAGTCAATCAGGTTTCAATATTGTCTTTTAGGTCAGTAATTTTTAGTCATTTGAAAGTTGAGATTTTCTTTGTAGTAGCCCATATCCTCAGTTGAATTTGAAACTTGAAGAGCAGCCAGGGATATATGGGTTTCAGGATTGCTTTGTAGATTGTAAAGTAATTTGTTTTCAAGAGAAATTTTAGATTTTCTGTTTAGTAGTCTGTATAGCTAGCCGTATCGTCGGTTGAGTATTGTATTTTGAGTCTAGTATGTGGGTTCCACGTTAGTCTTCGGTCTAAATGAAATCCAAGATACCGGACTGTGTCTGAGAAAGGAAGCTGGATGGAATTTAAGTGTACTGGTGGAGAGGAATTGCATCGGAGTGTAAAGATAATGTATTGGCATTTGGATTATTAACATTAATGCGCCAGTTATTACACCAGTGTTCAATAAAGGAGAGTTGCCTTTGCAGATTTAAGGATGTTATTACGGAATCAGAGTTGGATGACAAGATTGTGGTGTTGTCAGCTAATGTTGTAAGGAAGGAATCGGGATGAACAGGGATGTCAGCACTAAAGATGATGAAAAGCACGGGACCCAAGACGCTTCCGTGGGGAACACCGGCTTTAACGAGATAGATATTGAAAAATTCTGTTCTGCAGTGAACTCGAAAGGAGCGGTTAGAGAGGTAGGATCGGAGGACTAGTTACAAGGACTGAGGTAAATGGATTTTAAGCTTGAAGTGTAATCCGACGAGCCATACCTGGTCAAAAGTATGTGCTATGTCCAGAAATGACCCAGACAATATTTTCTATGGCTGCTGACAGAGCAGCGTTTTCAGTGAAAAACAACCTAATGGCAAGGAAGATTTTTCGGTTCTATGAGGGGTGGAATTCGTTTCAAGAGGATCTTTTTAAAGAGTTTTGAAAGAACGGTCAGTAAGCAAACCGGTATGTAGGATGTCAAACTGTTAGTAGGTTTTCTGGTTTTGGGAAAATGATAATAATGAAGTTTTTCCATAACAGTATAAATTCGGCAGTATTTTGGGTAACAATTGTAGATATTTTTTTTTTTTTGTATTAACAGCATTATCTAGGTCGTCGGGGAATTTCAGGGATATAATGAGGTTGTTCAAATATTGAAGTAGAATAATGATGAGGCAGTTCTGTACGTCTGTAGCGTCTTCTGACGCATCTCTTTTTCTCATAAGCGCTCTTATTTTTTAATTAATCCACGGAGCCGGATAATGTCTGAAAATACGATGGAATAAATAATACAATATATTTTTTAATTATTCAGTAGAATTTGTCGTTATTATCGGGATGAGTAACTTAATTTATTAAGGTAGCTTAATATAACTTATGTATATTTCATACAGGTATAAGCAAGTGGAAGCAAACAGTTGAAATACAATACGTGTTTTTTTTAAATGTCAGTAATATATCATCTACTCACGTGATATTCCATACAATTACGAAAATCTCACCGCAACTTACGCAGACGATACAAGTACGGACAATTCCTGTCCCAAAAACAGTCATACACCAGCTAACCTTTTATGTAAAATTACATATTATCTATAAGAACATATTCACATATAGCTCATAACCTAAATACTTATTATAGATTCGACTTTCTTTTTTTCTTTTAACAGAAACAGATTTTACTGTTAAGAAGAATCTACATTTATTTTTTCTAAAAGGGTTTATTTATATTTTAACATTGTACATAGTTTTAAGTATCTTAGTATGGTTTCAAGAGTTTTTTATATAGATTTTTTTATTTTATTTTGTATATAGAATGTATAACCAATTTTTTTTTCTTTTTTTTAATGATCTATCTTTATCTTAACTTTTTATGTTTGTTTTTATCTGGCCAGATATAAAATTTTAATTTCTGTACTTTTTTGTTATTCTGAAGGGACTTCGTCCCAGAATAAAATTATTTTTCTATTCTATTCTATATATATGTACAATTTTCTTTTGAATGCTTAATAGTTGACCTTTGCATTATTATGAAAGAAGATGGTCCGGGTTGGCATTCATAAATAGACTAAATAGTGGCAAAACTATTTTATTAAAACCTAACGTTTCGATCCTACATTGCAAGTCTTGTTCAGGGAGGTGTGTTCAGGAATGAGTCTCACTTAGAACTGAATAGACCTGAACGAATATCAGTTCTAAGTGAAACTCTTTGCTGAACACACCTCCCTGAAGAAGACTTTGCAATGTCGGGTCGAAATGTTGGCTTTTAATAAAACAGTTTTGCCACTATTTATGACCGCAGCACCGGACCATCTCCTTCCACAATTATTTTTTTCTCTCTCTCTTCTTCTGCATTTTAATTTTTTTTATTAACTCTTATTGTAAATATATGACCACACAGACACTCAATCTGTGCTTATAATTTGTTCTAAAAAAACAACAGTCCTAGAAAATATGTTATTAAATATTGTTATTAAATATGAATATGAAAATATATTTTAAATCTCGGACTGACATCAACAACAAATCAAAAATTCTAAATGTAAGACTACCACTATCATATTAAAGTTAGAGAGAAATTGAATATTCATACTTGATTAGGAATATTTAGACACACACACACACACACACACACACACACACACACACACATATACATACATGCATATATATATATATATATATATATATATATATATATATATATATATATATATATATAAACGGGACAAAATTTTCACTCAAAAACTTTCAAGACTATAACCAAAGCTCCCTGGTACGTTAGTAACACTACTTTACATAAAGACCTACAGATGCAGTTAACGACTACATATGAAGGACTAAATATTTCACTCTTATTCGGACTTACAACTCACTGATGCAAAGGCAAGGCCACAACTAACCTGCTCGATAACACTCACAAAATTAGTTGGATGAGGAATCTCCTCCACTACTATAAATATTAAAATGAAGATAGGAAAGGATGCCGCGGGATACTTCTCTCCCTCACACCTACCAACGTTGTATACAGTATTGTTCTTACCGACACCACACTCGCTGGTTGTTGGTATTTCTGGCAGGTACGAATTATTAAAAAAAAAAAAAAATATGAGTATATCGTTTATTTCTTTCTTTACAAATGATATGTTGTTTAATTGATTATTTTCATCATTTATACTGTTCTTGTAATATTCAGAATGGTCTGATTTCCAAGACAGGGAATCATATCGAGTATATCCCTATAACATATATATATGTATATATATAAATTTAAAAAAAAATGAAAAATCATTATCTTAAGAATAACAGTAACTTTTTGTTGATTTGGTATAAAAATATTTCTTACGACTTATGGTCATAACAACTGTAATGAGTTCCACAGCGGAGTTGCCATGGACAACACAATGTCCTTGTGCACTTGTTCATTCTAATAGACACCACCGGTTTTATGATATATTCAGATTGATGGGCCATAATTTCCTCTATATAAAAATAAAAAAAGTATTTAAATTAATTTTATTAATAGATGTCATTTGTTTCGAAAATGTTCAGTAATTTATTGTACTAAAAAAAATAATTATTGAATAATTCTACATTCTGTTTACTATACCTGCGTATAACTAGCACAAACAGAGATTTTTTTTTCCTTTCACAGGTAGTGTAATCCCAAAAAATCTCAAATTAAGAATGTACCGTGCTATGATCAAATCAGTTCTAATATGGCTGTGAGACCTGCACAGTACCCTAGAAAAGTTTTGAAATATTTGAGAGAAAAATCCTTCGCACGATAACCGGAGCTATCTGGGATCAGAGTACTAACACATGGAGAACAAAGAACAATAAAGAACTGCTTACAGGAACTGATCCCTGTTCGCTGGTAATAGGGTTCAGTATTGTCTTGTAGATCAGTAATTTCTTTTCAATTGAAAGTTGCGATTTTCAGTTCAGTTCTTATCGTCTGTTGAGTTCTGGTCTCTAAAGTCTAATATGTGAGTTACATGTTCGTCTTCGATCCAAGAGAAGTTTGCTTTGAATCGGCGTTTTAACACTCCAAAGGCCGCTAGCCTAAGAATTACGAGGAATTAAGCCATGCGGGAACCTGTAATTTCTAAAATACGTCTGTTAGTTAAAAAGATCTGGGAGAATGAGAAATTACCTGAAGAATGGAAGGAATGTATTCTTATTCCGATTAACAAAAATTGGACCCTTTTTGTTAACCGTACCCTTTTTTGTAGGACGTATTGTAATAACTATCGAGTAATTTCACTTCTTATGGTATGTTATAAAATATTCACTTTAATCTTAACAAGTGAAAGGCAGTGGATCTGCTGATGCGAAGGTTGTCTTCACAACTCCTCTCTCAGTTTTTTCCTATTTTATAGCGGAATCTCTCTTATTATTCACGTAATACAGTTAAAGTATACATCAGAGCAGTTGATATTTACTGTTGATATCTCTTTTTTTTTGGTTATTTTTAACTTTTTTTTCCCTCTTCCTTTATTTTTCTCTTATAATATGCGGTATGATCAACAAGTGATGGCACGTAAGGTGCCCAAGAGGACTCGGTCTGACGGCGTTAGTACACCACGTGGTTCACCATCCAAACAAAGAACTCGTCGCTGCCTACGAGAAATACCTCCAGTGACCAAAGTGAACACTTCAGAACCAGAACCTCAGCTCCAACCAGGTACGTCTTCGCAAGAAATGATTGAAGAATCGCCTTTTTTTAATCAAATCCCTACCAAGTGCTTCAAAATGACCGAGAAGTAATGGAGTCTTCTCGTGACAATTCCCTTTGGAAAACCACAACAAAAGTCCTAAATCCTCACCGCATTTCCCATCCCCTCCAACGAGATGATGGCTCCTGGGCAGCATCTGACGAAGAAGATAAGGCTGAGGAGTTCACCATTCACCTATCAAATACATTTATTTCACATCCGGAATCCCATACTGCCCACACCGTAACAGTAGAAGAACTCATTACATCACCAATCCCACTTTCCTTGCCCCCAACAGCTATTCATCCTTCCGAAGTGGAATTTCAATTAAAAAAACTAATCCCACGTAAAGCTCCTGGACATGATCTCCTTACCCCTCGAATCCTTCGACAACTTCCATCCAAAGCAGTCATATTCCTTACATGTATCTACAATTGTATCCTAAGCACCACCCACTTCTCTCTGTTATGGAAACACTCCACTATTATCCTTTTTCCAAAACTAGGCAAACCTCCCAATAGCTCAACATTCTATAGACCAATTAGCCTACTCCCATTCCTTTCAAGAATTTTTGAAAAGATCCTTCTGAAACGAATCCTACCCATTATAGAATCCCAAAATATCCCTTCCCATCAGTTTGGTTTTCGCCCTCAACATTCTACTGTTCAAGGACTCCGAGTTGTTGATCATATTTCCTCAGCCCTAGAAAACAAGGAATACTGTTCGGGTGCCTTTCTGGACATTGCACAGGCATTTGACCGGGTATGGCACTCCGGACTGCTCTCCAAGCTTAAAATCCATTTACCTCAGTCCTTGTACCTAGTCCTCCGATCCTACCTCTCTGACCGCTCCTTTCGAGTTCGCTGTGGAACAGAATTTTCCAATATCTACTCCGTTAAAGCCGGTGTTCCCCAAGGCAGCATCTTGGGTCCCGTGCTTTACATCCTATTTACTGCTGACATCCCTATTCATCCCGATACTTTCCTTGCAACATTCGCTGACGACACCGCAATCTTATCATCCAATACTGATCCCGAAATAGCATCCTTAAATCTCCAAATCCACCTCACCTTGATTGAGAACTGGTGTAATAACGGCTTCAACGATTTCGATGAAACTTGGCTAAAGTCTTCCCCTTGAAACCTTTATAATTTATGTATATAACATACTTTACTGAAAACAGGTTGCATACATTTTTATGATGAATTCAGTATTTTATTTGCGAATAACTCAACATTTTTTTACTGATAACACCAATATTTATGTGAAAGCTTTCTTGATTTCCTACAAAATGATAAAAAAAAAAATACTACCGAAATCTAAAAGAATCAACTCCGAAATGAAACAATTCGTAACGGCCAGAGGAGCAAAGTGGGTTCAAATATCTTTTTAATGGGGAACGGAGTTGAGATTCTTCTTTCGCATCTTGACAAACCCTCAGATACGAATTTTCATTGCAATCCAAAAATAAACATTTTTACCTCAAATTTTCGTCAAGGCAGGAACCTTCAATTTTTAAAAAAAAATCACAAAAGTGGTCATAATAATATCGATAATACCGATATTTTTTTTTAAGCTTACTTGATTTCCTACAAAAAAAAAAATCATCGAAATCGGACGGCTTCTGTGCTTATCAAACGTTTCGATACCGGCACAGGCGGATTTACGGGGGGGAGGTGGTTTCGAGCTGACCCTCCCCCTCCCTCAAAACGGTAAAATATAACCATGTTTTATAGAAAAAAATATTAAAACTATCTCTTAAAGTATTATTGTTCGTATAATTACATTTAATAGGACTTCAAGAATCACTTAAACACCATTTCATATAGGTAGTTCATTTCTTTCTTTTATTTTTTTCAAATTAATTATGGTTATATATATGAAAAAAAATTTCGTGCTGAAGCACCCCCCCAAAAAAAAATTAAGTATTGGATCCGCTATTGGATACCGGTATTTTTTAAGTTAACAATGGGGTCCTCTTAATATTTTAAAATAGAGCCTCGATACCTCAGGCCGGAGACCCACATACAGTCCACCAGCACATATATTAAGCTACTCGTGAGTAGGAAATTAATTGAAAACAGAAATGTGTCATTTTACTACCACACTACGTAGTCCCAAGTGCGATTCTAACAACGTTGGTTACTAGTTTTTTTTAATCCTATTTATTGAAAAATATTAAAATCTGTCTCAAGGACATTTATAATAGTGTTCACAGATCACATTCACACTCTATGTACAGTAAATAAAATAAATTATACAGAAAAATAACATATATACAATAAATAAGAATAAAATAACCTAAAAATAAATTAATAAAAAGAACACATACATACCTATATACAATATTTACAATCTGGTGAGGGAACTCCAAACCAGACTTGTCCCTCCAAGTGTGGAGGGAAAAGCATGACTCCAGGAGATCCCAGCACTTCTCTCTCAACCGCGTCACCGGGGCTAAACCCAGTGGAGATTGAGCAAGAGCGCTTAAGCCACATACACTCATGTCGTGAGTGGAGAATCTGGCCATTGCCAGAACTCCATTACTTACAAACTATAAAAGGTAGCGGGGCCACTGCCGTTTTAACCTCCTTGGAGGATTATATGGATGGGTGGTGCTGGATAGAGATTGTGCAAAGGGATTTGGATGATGGGTAAGGTTCTGGTGGAATTTGGAGAATTTTGATGGGATATGGTCTAGGACAAATGGGATATTAAGGTCATGGTGTAGGGTTTTGTTGGTTACATAGAATGTTACTAGTAACTTCATTAAATGGATTTAGTTGCATAATCTTACAGTTTGAGTTGAATTCAGCACAACTAGTCCTCAATTTTTTAATGTTTTACACCTATAGAAACAATTTTAGAGAAAGTTAACTGTAGCATATTCTAAATTTAATATTTTTGGTGTTTTAGTGAAAAGTAAATTAGTTCATATTTTCTGTTGCAGTTTAATTGTCTAAACCATATGGTTTTAAAAGATCATATGTTTATTATTTGTTAGTATGTAAAGAAGTTGTTGAGTTAATAAAATGAATTAAAACATTTATTTTGATTTATATGTTAAGAATATAATATTAACTATTTGAATTTTGGACGGTTACTATGGTTCATTATTGGAAATATTTAAGTATCGCGATATATTTACTAATAGTGTTTTGTTTTTTTGTTTTTTTTTTGTATTTTGGCTTTATGACTTGTAAAAGCAAGTCCTATTTCGCCAGTAAAATATTTTATTTGTCATAGTGAGATGAAATTTATAAGAATAAGTTTTTAGACGGAAATTACACTGGATTTATATTAATTATTTATAGTTAGACGATAACTGAAAGTAACTTATATGGGACTTGGCTATTAGATATTATATTATTAGATATTAGATATTATGGAAACTGAAATGAATAATGGTTAAAAACTGAAATGAATTAGAATTACAATTAAGTGAGAATAAGTGCCGACTTCTATTATATGACTGCTTTGATGTCATTCATGATGGTCTGCATCATCTTCAGTTGAACTGCGTGATGGTCCTTTCGATGTAGTTGGTTTTCATTTGTCGTTTTGTCTGCCATTTCATTTCCTGATATTCCTACGTGTCCCGGCACCCACTGGAAAAAGTAATTGTTGCTGGCGTTGTATATTAGTGATATAATTTTAAAGGATTTTACCACCCATCGTAAATTTTTCTCCAGATTATTTTCATTGAAATATGCTATATAGATACATTTTAAGGGAATCGGGAATAATACTTTAGCTAAGTTTCATTGAAATCGGTACATTCTGAAATCGGCCCCCATCTTGAAAGAAATTGGCGGATAGTAATGTCGATATTGGTGGATCATCCTCGGGTGACCTCTGAAAAAAATCGGACCACTGATCTCGGAGAAAATGCGCGAACGGGGGACGGCGGGTAGTAGAATAATAAACCAAAATTCATTTACTTATCCATTACATTTACCTTATTTAATTAATAATTTAAGATATGACTACTCACTGTTTGATTCGTTGCTTTTGTCGTCAAATGAAACACTATCGTTCAAAAATCTGGATGAGCCACTGGTGACATAAAAAAGTAACAGGATAGCCATATAATACTTCATTTTCTTTCAGTATAAGGCGTTCCAGTCAATTTACATATGAATATTTAAATTCTTGTATAAACACAAGGTACGGTTCAGTCCGTTGAGTGTATAAGATCGTCTCCAGGTTGATTGTTCATAAAATCGTTAGTGGTAGTTCAATCTAAACAATTTTTAACAGAAGTGTTGTTTGGTGTATTACGAAGTAAATTACGAAGTTTGGAGGAAATAGAACTTGAAGAAGGATTGTTATAATTAAATATAATTTTGGACAATATAAGATAAATTGAGTCCCTTATCTTTGGGATCTCTTCTAGGATTAGACGATACGTCCCCACCAACTTTAGCTCCGCCCAGCTCCCCACCTCAGCTGTAAGACCATTCCTTTCATTGTGTTAAGCCGTCAAACAGTAGCTACGTAAATACTTATGTATCTATCCATTATCGATAATAATATCTATATTTGATTTTGGTTTTTGTACTGTTTATTTTAAATTTTCAAATCACTATGGCATCAATAGAAGAGAAATTTAACATATTAATATAAAACATATCAGGTTCAGAAAAGAAACTAGACAAAAACAGAAAAAATAACGAAGAGGATATTAGAGAGATAAAAACACAGGTTGATGAAATAACAAATAACATTAAAAACTTTAGGGAAAGAGAGGAAAATTTCACGAGAAGGAAAAATATAATTATATTTGGTTTAAATAGAGAAAAATATTCAGATGTAAATAATTGGGTAAAAGAAATATTAAACTATATTTTATCAAACTTTCGTATGTATGATATATTAGAAATAAGGAAAATAAACCTTTTTTTAATTTATTTATTTATATGAATATTTAAAGATTAGGAGAAGAGAAAATAAAATAAAGTATATATATACACATAGCGAGAAGTATGTTGAAGATAATTAGAAATAAAATACATTTCACTGAAATACATTTCATGAATAACAAATTAGAACTTAAGGAAAACAAATTTTATCTACTCACAATGCTTAGTGAGTGGTGATGAAAATTCACGTTCAACACAGAATAAAACAATAAAAAATAAGAGAAAAAAAATAATGTCTAAAGAAAATTAAATCCTTATAACATAGTATGTATTTAACCAGCGTCTGATTGGATTGTGAAGAGGAATTGGAATAAGAGGGTTTTAAAGGTGGATAAGGATGATGCATGGCGGATTTTTAGTGGGATGGAATTTCAGAATGCAGTGGAACGGACAAAGAAGGAATGTTTAAATGATGACGATCTGTGGAAAGGATTGTAAAGGTCAGAAGGACGAGATCTTGTGGAGAGGGTGTGGATAGATGATTTGAATTGTAGGAGATTGTGTGCGTAGGACGGACGATGACTATTGATTATTTGGTAAAGGAATGTGCCTAGGAAATATTGTCTTCGGAAGGAAGGGAAGAGCCATCCTAATTCAGCATAGTGGTGCGAAACACGGGAATACCTCAGGGCCCCTGTGACAAATCTTACGAAGGCATTCATAATTCTTTTCAGTCTCTCCCCGAGTTCTGCCGAGAGGCCACCGTACACCACGCAGCCGTAATCAAGGTGGGGGAAGATGAGGGAAGTTACTAGGAGTCTACATGTAGGAGATGGGTAGGAGATGGCGGAAGCGATGGAATAGTTTCAAGGTACCAATTGACTGTCGGGTAATGTGAGCAATATGGTGTTTCCAGGATAGAGTTTGGTCTATGAAAATGCCTAGGTTTTTTACTGAGGAGGTGAAGGTAATGGGATGGTCATTTAGGTACAGTATAGGTATGTTGGTATTGGCTCTGAGAAGGGGTTTGGAACCAATGACAATGGCTTGAGTTTTTGCAGCGTTTAACCTTAACCCATTTAAGTTTGCCCAGGCACTGATCCGATTCAAGTCTTCTTGAATTTTGGCAAACGCTTCATGCAACTCCGAGGGATGGAAGGAAAGGTAGATTTGGGAGTCATCGGCGTAAAGGTGATGGGAGCAGTGAAGGATTGAATTATGGATGTCATTGATATAAGAACTAAAAAGGAGGGGAGATATGCTAGAGCCCTGGGCCACTCCTGCGGACAAAGTAAGATAGGAAGACAAGGGTTGATTAGGAATAGTGACAGCTTGTGAGCGTTAGGAGAGGAATGATTGAAACCATAGGAAAGAACTATGGGAAAAGGATAATGATTTTAATTTGGAAAAGAGAATGGAATGGTTGATGGAATCAAAGGCTTTGGAAAAGTCAGGAGTATAAGGACAGTTAGTTTTTTGTCATCAATGGCGGAGTGAACATCATTAATGATTTTGATTAGGGCAGATTGTGTGGAATAACCTGGTCGGAAACCAGATTGGTAAAGGTCAAGTTGATTGGACTGTTCAAGGAAGGTGGAAACTTGGGATTGCACAATTCTCTCCAGGGGTTTGGAAAGGTTAGAAAGGATTGAGATTCGCCGGAAATCTTCAGGGGAAGACGGATTAGAATTTTTATTTAAAGGACGGACTGTGGCTTTTTTCCACAAGGAAGGGAATACTGAATTTTGAAGGGAAAAATTGTAGATGAAAAGGAGTACCGGAAGGATTTCAGAGAGGCATAATTTAATTAATTTGACGGGAATGCCATCTGGACCAATAGAATTAGAATGTGATTTCATCACGGCGGATATGAGGTCTGTGGGAGAAATATCTGAAAAATAAAAATCGGCGTCATTGAAAGATGTGAAAGATGATCCAGGAGGAAAGAAGGAAGGGAGAAATGAAGGAGTTGAAGAGGAAGCAGATATAAAATAAGAATTTAAGTCATTTGATGAAACTGGGGGCACTGCAGAGGGAGGAGATCTGGTAGGATCACAAAGAGAGAGTTTACGAAGGAGTAGCCATTTGGATTTGGAATCAGGAGCTGAGGAAAGGGCTTCATGGAAATAGGTAGATTTGGCTCGTCGGATTGTGGTTTGTGTCAGGTTGCGGAGCGCCCTAAACGCTTGATAGTCGTCAGGCGAAGAATAAAAGAAGATCTGGAAAATTATAAAAATGATATGGTCACTAACATTCTTCTAAACAATAACTCCACAAGAAAATTCAAAAAGAATTGTACAAAGGTAGGCAATCGATGGTTGTTCTTGAAAACAGGAAGAAAGAAGTTATAACTAATAGGAAAAATATAAGAAGGGATACTTCAGAGAACTTTATAAATGTAATCAGAAGACAGTGGAAATAAATAGAGAGGCAGATGAAGTTCAAGAAGAAATCCCACCAATAATGGAACAGGAAGTGGCTGTCATTGTAAAAAATTTGAAACATGAAAAAAGTCCTGGGCTGGATGATATTACGAACGAAATTTTAAAAACAGGAGGAGAAGTTCTCATTAGGGAAGTTACTGAAATATTTAACTTAATTTTTGAAAAAGAAGAAATTCCAGAACAGTGAAAAACAGCAAAAATAATTCTATTACACAAAAGAGGCAATAAACAGGATATGGAAAACTTTCCCTTTGTTCTACCATGGCAAAGCTTTTTACAAGTGTCATTAAAAAACGGCTCACCAAAAGAATCATGGAATGTATAAAGGAAGAACAAGCAGGTTTTAGAAAAGGTTTTTCAACTGTGGACCACATTCATACAGTAAACCAGATGATAGAGAAAGCTAAAGAATAAAACTTCTCTCTGTAATTCTGTTCTCGATTTTAAAAAAGTGTTCGATAGCGTTCTACATACGGGTGTTCTTAAAGCTTTAAGAATAATAGGAATCGAAGAGAAATACGTGAGAATTATCGCAGAGCTATATAAAGATATGACAGCGTAAGTAATGACAGAAAAGAGGGGTCAAATCTTTCGCGTTAAGGGTGTTAGGCAGGGGGATCCGTTATCGCCCTTGTTATTTATTCTGGTGTTGGAGATGAGTTTTTGGTCTCTTGGATGGGAAAATGCAGGCATAAAGGTGAATGGTCGATTTTTAAGCAACTTAAGTTTTGCAGATGACATTGTACTTTTTGCCAACAATTCCCGACAATTACGAGAAATGCTAAAACACCTTCTAGGGGCCTGTGAAGAAATTGGTTTATAAAAAAACCACAATAAGACCAAACTAATGACCAATATTTTAAAGGAAGAAATGAAAATGAACAACTTCACCCTGGAATACGTAGAGGAATATGTTTACTTGGGACAGTTAGTTTCCTTTTCAGAGAGATTTACAAAAGAAGTCCAGAGAAGAATAGCATTTGGTTGGAACAAGTTCTGGTCTTTGAAGAATATAACAAAAAGAAACATAAGCATTGATCTATAAAGGCGTGATGTATTATGCCAGTGGTGACCTATGGCTCCCAAACATAGTCATTTACAAAAGCCCAAGAGAGGAAGACCATGGTGTGGCAAAATAGCATCGAAAGAAGCATTATGAAAGTAAAGAAGATAGATAAAATCAGATGCAAGAAGATAAAAGAAGAAACAGGGCTCAAAGACACACTCTCGCAAATAAGAAAAGGCAAATGGAAATGGGCTGGACATCTCCTGCGATGCAACGAAATTAGATGGTCAAAAATAGTCGCCGAATGGACTCCATCTGACCGGAAAAGGATGAGAGGCCGACAAATCAAGAGATGGAGAGATCCATTTAGGCTTTTGGCAGGACCTCTCTGGTGGAGAGTAGCTAGACAGATGGAGGGACAGATGTGTGGAAAGAAAAATGGTTAAAGGTCAGAAATCCCGCTTCCCAGTAGGGAAGTGTTAAAGACTCTTCAGGGAAGGCCTATGCAAGATAGTAAACAGTTTTGTATAAATTATAATGTAAAAAAAAAATGTTTTATTTTGTTTTGTTTGCTTTTGAAATTGTAATATCAGTGCACAAATAAAGGCTATTTTCATTTCATTTCAATTCGGTATTGGTGGATTATCCTCGGGTGACCTCTGAAAAAATTGGACCACTAGTCTCGGAGAAAATGCGCGAACGGGGGACGGTGGACGGAACCAAAAACATTGTATTCGATTTTCGAATTCTACGTATCCTGAAATGTAAAACCTCAAATTTTGTGGGGAGTTAAATTTTTGAATTTTGCTGACGATTACAATGGTTCATTATTGAAAATAATAAACCAAAATTCATTTACTTATCCATTAAATTTACCATATTTAATAATTTAAGATATGACTACTCACCGTTTGATTTGTTGCTATTGTTGTCAAATGAAACACTATCGTTCAGAAATCTGGATGAGCCACTGGTTACATAAAAAAGTAACAGGATAGCCTCATAATGCTTCATTTTTTTCAGTATACAAGGTTCCAATCAATTTACATATGAATATTTAAATCCTTGTATAAACACATTTATACCTGTATTTCCTGCGTATTATGTTACTATATAGATTACCACTAATGATGTAACGCAATGATTTATTTTATAACAATGGTTTTTACACATAAGTAAAGGATCACGTGAAAAACATAAAATAATCAATTACCTATGAATTTGTGATGGATTAATAATATTTTTATCTATTATTACCTTTAAACCTATTGATAAAAATAATTTCAATTTGTTTAGCGGTAGAATATTTTGTATTTTGGTATTTAAAAAACCTTTTTTTAGATAGATAGATAAAAAAAAAAAACTTTATTCTGGGACTAATTCCCTTCAGAATAACAATAATGTACAAAATAATAGAATATTACTGGCCTAAACGTTTGAAACAATAAATAAAATTGATAAAATAAAATAAAAAGTAAATAAAATCTTAGGTGCACAAGCTATATACAGTACAGATAAAACTATGTACAGAGCATTTAAAATTATGAACAAAACAATCAAAACTATGAACGAATCACTTGAACTATGAACAAAATTATATATAAGGGTTAAACAACATAAACACTTTGAGAACTGAAGAACGAAAAAGAGATACAATGAGTTCATTTCATAAAAAAAAAAAAAAAACTTTACTTGAATATATATATATAAAAATAAACAGTTAATTATAATTTAATAAAAAAAATGTATGTATTGAAATTCCTACGTCGAATGTAGGAAATGCATGTAATATCTCTTACCAAGTATTATGATTATATGATTGCTACACAATACATATATAATATTAATAGTCAGCTGGTATCTGACTGTTTTTGGAACAGGAATTGGAATAGGAGGTTTTTGAATGTGTACAGGGAAGGGGCATGTCGAATTTTGATCAGGAGGGAATTCCAAAAGTTGACAGAGCGGGCTATAAAGGAATTTTGGAATGAGGCAGATCTATGAGAAGGGATGTATAGGTAGAGGGTCGGGATCTTATAGTGAGGATTGAGGATTGAGGACTTAAATTGGAGAAGGTTGTAGGCATAAGAAGGACGATGATCGGTAATGATTTGATAAAGGAAAGTGGCTAGGAAATATTGTCTTCTTAAGGAGGGGAAGAGTTCCCCTAACTCAGTGTAGTGGTGATTGCAACTTTACATGAAAAATTGAATTATCATAGAACTGGAGTAATAAATGTATTATTTCATTAAATCTTTTTTTATTTAAAAATAAAACATTCTGTTCTAAGAGAAATAAGTGCTAAAGTTATCTGAGACACATTTTGAAAGCTTTATTTGTTAATATTTATAGCATTTATATTTAAAAAATAAGTATGCCAGTCGGATCATGTTATCTATAAAAATAACGGTTGATTAAAAGAATTACCCCCGGTAACTTGAGGATCGATACAGAAAAATAGATTGCGAACAATTTTTAAAAGTTTTTATTTGTTCAACTTGTATGTATGAGTTTGAACATTATTATGAGCGTTTAAATAAAATAGCTAACGCGCTCCACAAAGGGAAAACTTGTTACAACTTGTTGGAGGCTATCTGGCCAACTGTAGATCTTCCTTCTCTGAACCCCCCCTGATACTTAGAAATCTCTCTCTCAGCAAACGGGAGGAGTTTGCAGTGGATAATGTTTGAGAGGATCTTATATGCTGCTATGTGTTTAACATAGCCAATGAGGTTTTAAATTTATTATTTAGTGTAGAAAACAAGGTGAACGAAATCGACTTCTGACATCAGAACCTACTTGGATACATGGCTCAAGAGAAGGCTCAGAGTAAAAACTAGTAACGGACTAAATAACTGGTTCCTCTTATGGGGACCCTACACGGTCAATTGGAATTGCACTAATGACGTTCCGAATTGTCGTGTAAGGTAGTGAATGAAGATGAATGAAGTACTGATGGTGGTGCGCTGCAGATTTCCGAACATCCGGAAATCAAAGGTTCATTCACGAGAAGTGGAAGGGGGACTGAGGTAAAAGTAGTGGGGAGACTAACCATACTGCTGGATAGGTTAGGTTACCTCACAACCATTATAAATTCCTGATTTTCATTATATGTAAATAGTTAAATAATTTTTCATATCCCTTGTTTATAATTTTAAACCATTTTCAACTATTTCTTTTAAATAGTCAAGTGGTCAACAAATTAAAAAAAAAATGAGGAAACTTCACAATTTACTTTTTTCTATACGATTTTCTAAGAGACTAACCTTACTACTAGGTAATGTTAGTTACCTTACTACTAGGTTAGTTTACCTAGGTCTCGTTATTAAGTAAATAATTTCATAAAAGTAAATAGTTGTTTACATCCTTAGTCTATATTATTATTAACCATTTTCAACTATTTTTTCTTTAAATAGTCAAGTAGGCAATAAATCGGAGAGAAAAAAAAAGTGGAAACTTCACAAAGTAATGATCAGTAATGATTGAACGTGTAAGGGTCTTCATGATCAAAGCGATAGCGGACAATCTTGGCACTTCTTGTGACGTTCATTCATGAATTACCGTGTAGGGTCTGCTTATGGGTGCTAACAGTTATTGTAAACTTATATAGTGACGTTAAGAACCAGTGAGAACCATTCTTGCCCCACCCTGAAAAGTTTGTATCAATTCTACCGAGAAGCAAGAAAAAGAGGTCTTATATGGAGATCCGGCCTGGAGGAGAGGTCTTATGTTTAGTTCCGGCCTTGAGGATGGGCCTTATGTTTTATTCCGGCTTGGGGACTGAAGCCCTACATAGACCATGATGATCCTGGCAGAGCTTTGATCATGACGAGATTACTACGGATCAAGTAGATGAACTGATGGAATCTACCAACCACACCACTACATTTACAATAGACAAGTTTTATTCCCAACAATAAATTTACCAATGTTAGGATATTTCATGGCAATATAATTCTCAAAACAGTCCATCTTAAATCATGCCTTCTCAGTTAACTATTGAATTCATTGATTCTTTAATTTATTTGTAATTCTTGTAAACATAATTTGTATATATTCTTTATTAAAAAAAATATTTTAATTCCGCCACCCATATATATCATGATGATCAGGTAATTAGAAAACATGATAAACACAAACCAGGCTTTCAGAAAAGAAATCCAATTAATTAATTCTAGTCCGATCAATATGTTATAGATCCAAATTTATTTTTTAATTATTCTTTTATTAAATAATTCTGAGTAATTATCATCAATAATTAGCCAATAGAATCCCGGATAATTTTTAAAACCATAAAACGTAACAATTTTAACATCTCTTGTGGGGACTTACTATTCAGCATTTATCATTAATTAATTTTGTACATAAAACATTATAGGTGGCATTTAAAATAATTACATTAAATGATTCAGATGGATTGATTATTTATATAGTTTACCTTTTTTAACTTTATTTAACATAAATATCGTTGCATCTAGTTGGTTATTCTTTATATATTAATTGTTAAAGTTTAATGTGACGTTTTCTTTATGAACAATTTATTAAATAGTTTATTGGGTTTATTATTATAAATCTTGAATTTTATTTTGTTGGGTAAATATTTTTCGTCGCAAATTCACTCTTTAAAAATGTCTTTATAACTTCACGATGCATATCTTAAAAACAAAAGAGGCAACAGTTATGAAATCAGTCACCCTTAACTGAGATGGAAAATTTTCTGGGATATGGTATAGGACAAATAGGTCATGGACTGAAGGATTGAATGCGTTTAATGTTAATATGTTTCCGATTTGGCCAAATCCAGATACCTATCCTTCCATAATAAACTTCATAACCATCCAAATCCTCTTGTTTCTAACCTTGCTTCCTCTTCGATTCCTGATAACCCTCCGAGGCGTCTAAATAGAAAATGGGCTCGTGATCTCCTTATATAGACATAATTATTAGAGTGCTACCAATGGGTAGTTTCTCAACAAGCGTGTTTCATTTGATTATATTCTTCTGTACACATTTACTTGATGTATTCATACTATTACAGTTGTAAATATCATAATAAAAGTTTAAAAAAAAGAAAAAATGTTTGAAAATTTTATGTCCTCCACAGTTCAAGTCCGTAGCTTCAAACAGGTTTCAGTATTGTCCAGTAAAAGCATGTGCTATGTCCAGAAATGCTCCCGCACAATATTGTTTGTTTTATAGGGCTGCTAATATATGTTTAACGTCTTGAAATTCTTATTGAAAATTTTGAGTGAAAAAAACCCTGATGGGATGGAAGATTTTTCGGTCCTATAAGGGGTGGCATTCCTTTCAAGAGGATCTTTTCAAAGAATTTTGAAACAACTGTGAGAAATCTAATTGGTCTGTAAGATGTCAAACTGTTAGGTTTCCTGGTTTTGGGAAAATTATAATAATAATGGTTTTCCATAATAGTGGAAATTGGGTAGTACCTATGATGCAATTGTAGACATATATACATATATATAAGGAACAACACTGATTTGGACGATATTTGTCGATGTATCTCAGTGGTGAGGTGATCATATCCAGGATATTTGCGGAAGATTAGTTTTGTAATTGAAATTTCACTTTGGAAGGATGAATTGCTTTAGGGAGTAAGGAAAGTGGAATATGTGATGTCAGAAATTCCCCCAAGATTGCGCTGTGAGTGTGATGTGATTCCGGATGTAGAATAAACATTTTGGATAGGTGTCTGGCAAACTTCTCGGCTTTATCTTCGTCAGATCCGGCTCAGAAACCGTCATCTAGCCGGAGGTGATAGGAATTGAATTTAATGAGGGTTTAGCATTTTTGTTGTTGATTTCCAAAGAGAATTGTCAGATGGAGAAGGGGTAGGTAGGAATTGAAAGATTGTGATATGAAGGTGTCTGATTCCAGTTTTATTTTTTACAGTAATAGAAGAATGGATTACTTTATTTTTTACAGTTTGGTGAGATATATAGTAAGTTATAATAATCTGGTAAGGCGTTTTATGTGGATTAGGTCAAGGAAAGTTATTCGTAGATTGGTCTATTTAGGAATCCTTGAAGAATCTTTTGGAGAGGATACAGTCCATACAGCTAGCTAAATTGTGGTGGTAAAGGAATTGACAGAACTATCGAGGTCGTCGGGGGATTTGAGGGGTATATTGAGGTTGTTCAAATATTGAAGTAGAATAATGATAAGACAGCCCTGTACGTCTGTAGCGTCTTATGACAGCATATCTTCTTCTCATAAGCGCTCTTATTTCTGAATTAATCCATAGAGCCGGATAATGTCTAAAAATACGGTGGAATAAATAATTAAATTTTTTTTTTAATTATTCAGGAGAATTCGTCGTAATGATCGGGAAGAGTAACTTAATTTATTAAGGTAGCTTAATATATAACGGGTTAGAACAGTGGCATAATTACATGATATTCAAAAGTAAAATTGATATCGCAAACTAAGGAAAAGGTTGCTAAAGAAATCTGTCTGAAATCTGGTAAGTTCGTATATTTATCACTAGTAGGTCATTCGAAAAAGTCGCACAGTATATTGCTATCAAATACCAAATTAATAAGAAAATAAAATAATGCAACGCATCAAAAGATAAAGAAATCAAATGTTACTTTATCGATAAATATAATCGACAATTAATTTAAATCTTCATTTTTGTTTGGAACCAACATATTTACAAATTTCAGTAAGATGTATCTTTGCTAGAAATTGTCCGATTTCGATGATTTTTTTTTCATTGTGTAGAGAATTTAGTAATCATTTATATAGTCATGTGCATGACTAAGGGAAAAGTGTTTAATTTTTTTGTTAATCGAAAATAAAGTTTGTTTTCTTTCATAACTTGTTTGCCTGAATTTTGAACGGAGCGATTGGATTATTTTGCCGGCCAGAAGGAGAAGGAACCCTTCGAAATTAGTGGCTCAATCTTGAGATTTGGTGAAAAATTAACGATGATATGGCTTACCAATCAAAAATACCATCGATAAATAATATAAACTCCTCTCTCGATCATGGAGACCTCATGTCAATGAAATGAGACATGTATTCAATGCCAGTACTACAATTAATGTAAGGTTTTGTGGATGCGAACCCTATGCCTTGCGCTATCTCCAAAATAATACGTTTTTGGGATTAAAAACGCAGAATTCGACAGTCCCTGAGGAACTATCCGGGTCTTGCTATACGCATCAAAATCTTCAAGATCCAAGTTGTCCCGTATCGATCTACAGACCTACCACCGTTTAAGTATTGAAGCCTAGCAAAATTTTTATATCGACTTTATTTATTTTAGAAAAAAAAACAAAGGAGGAGAATAAAATTCGCGAACTCCCCGTGAAATTCTGCATCTAACGGTACCCCATCCATATTATTTGAGCATGACAGGAGCTTATATTATGTACAAAACCGATTTTGAGCCTTATAATAATAATAATAAGGCTTAGCGAACCCGAAGGTTCGATGCCGACACCACCAATCGCTTGTTACACATCTCCCTCCACCGTTCGCCGTTCAAACCCAATCCCTTCAGATCGGCTTTAATGCAATCTTCCCACCTTCGCTTCGGTCTACCCCTCGGACGCTTACCATTCGGCACAGCAAATATTAACCTTTTAGGAATTCCCTCTTTACTAAGCCCAACAACTTTACAAGCCCATTTGATTCGCCGCGATGAAATTACCTCAATTATATTACCCGGATACAGCTCACGCAATTCGGCGTTGTGTAACCGTCTGAACTCTCCGGTTAACTCATCCTTCTTCGGTCCGAATATTCTACGCAATACTTTATTTTCAAAAACCTTAAGACGCTGCTCATCCCTTAATGTAAGCGGCCAAGTTTCGCACCCATAAAGAACTGTAGGCAAGATAATTGTTTTATAGATTCTAATTTTTAAGTTCCGGGACAAGAGGCGCGAACTAAGTAGTTTTGTCACAGAAAAATAACAAGCATTTCCCGCCTTCAGTCTAACCTTAATCTCTTCTTCAATTCCGTTTTTTCTAGTTATCGTAGAACCTAGATACCTAAATTTATCTACCTGTTCAAACATATTACCATCTATATCGATGTCACCAGTAGTATCGCCATTTTTGCAGCTAACCATATATTTTGTTTTATCCACGTTTATTTCTAGTCCTAATTCTTTACCGGCTTTCATTAACGTTGTCGTATTTAGTTTTATAGTTTCAACGTCTTCGCTTAACAGTACCAGATCATCAGCATAGCCCAGCACGGATGATTTCGAGCCTTACTGTAATAATATATGTGGAAATGGGGATGGGGATTTATCTTCCGCAAAGAAAAAAAAAAGCTATTACTTTCCATTTAATTAAAAGTTAATTTACAATAAATGAATAAATTTTTCACCTTAAAAATAAATCAAAATATTATTCACATTCAATAGAGCTAGACGGATTACAACCTTTGGCAGCTATAGATTATCATCAGAAAATCCGTCTTTTACGACGAATTATCCATGTATCTTTTGTTTCTTCAAGCTATTATTTATTTCAAACTATTATTTAATTTTCGACTACAGTAATGATTTGATAATTCCGTCTTCCAAATCATCGGAATCTGACTAGGAATCGAGTAAGAAATCGATTAAAAATCAGCAATCCTGCCCATTTCAAAATGTTGAATTAACAACTTAAATATCCGCAGTCAGGAAGAACTGCGCCTCAACTTTCGCTGATACCCACAGGATCAATCCTCAATGTCAATTTAATTCCTATTTCCTGTATTTAATCCTGCTTCTTTTATGACTCCCGCTCACCAAGCTGCTTCTTATCCTGCGCCAGGCCTAAATCTTTAAAACGAAACATGCCCTATTATTTGCTACGAAAATTCCGAATTCCTCAGACAGATAAAGCTCGGAATGACATCAACAACAAATCAAAAACTCTTAACCTAAAACTACGACTATTATATCCAATCCTTTCTAGACGTTCGAAATTAAAATTTTGACAAAAATTTAATACATACTCTTACTTAGTTAAGCCCATTTGGACTTTTAGTTCGCAGATGTACGAGGCAGCCAAAAAAAAAACAACATACGCAAATTACAAAATTTTCACTCAAAAACTTTCAAGACTATAACCAATGCTCCCGGGTACGTTAGTAACACTACTTTACATAACGATCTAGAGATTCCAACAGCTAACGACTGTGTATGAACATACTACTGAAAGGGATCTTACACGGTCATTCGGAATAGCATTCCGAGGCACTAATGACGTTCCGAGCGTTGAGGATTTTACGAAGGATTTTGGATTATAAGGATTGGATACGAAAGGATAAGTCCAAATAGGTTTTATCATTGTCATATGTCTGAGTCGTTTGTAATTGATTGAAAGCTTAGAGCGTTTGTCTAGTAAGTGCTGCAGTAGTCGAAAACGTCAGGCGGTTTATAGTCGTTTCAGTATGGTATGGGGGTTCTAAGTGAGTCGTTTATCCAGGTGGAGTCCTAGGTATCGAATTTATTCGACAGGGATAAGATGGCTATTGTTTAAGGATACTGTAGCACAGGAAGTCATAGGTTTACGACGAAGAGTGAAGGTAATTTGATGGGATTTATTGGAATTTATTTTAATCCTCCAGTTTTGACACCATTTTTCAAGACTTGTGATGGGCGATTGAAGAGTTCGGGACGCAATAGATGGATCGTTATTAACTGATAGCATACAAGTGTCATCGGCATAGGTGGTGATGAAAGTGTTGGATACTATAAATATTAAAATGAAGATAGGAAAGGAGGCCGGGGGATACTTCTCTTCCTCACACCTACCAACGATGTATACAGTATTGTTCTTACCGACTCGCAGGTTGTTGGTATTCCTGGCAGGTATGAATTGAAAAATAATGTTAAAAAAAAATAAATATGAGTGTATTGTTTATTTCATTCTTTACAAATTGGTATGTTGTTTAAATGATTATTTTCATCATTCATATTGTTTCAGCAATATTCATAATGTTTCTGTGAACAATTTGAGCATTTTATAATTTTATAATTTTCTTCCAACACAGGGAACCATTTTCTGCCTAGGCCTATAACATATGTATATATATGTGTATATATGTATGTGTGTATATATATTTAAATAAAATTTTGGAAAATCATTATCTTACGAATAACAGTAACTTTTAGTTTTATAGAGTGATTTGGTATAAAAATATTTCTTACTCATGATTGAACCAACAACTGAGATTAGTTCCACATTTGTATTCCGGTGGACAGCACAATGTCGTTGAGCACCTGACCAGTCCAAAAGGCGCCGCTTTTAAGATATATTCAGATTGATGTACCATAATTTCCTCTATACAGAAATAATACAAAAAAAGTATTTAAAGTGATTTTATAAATAGAGGTCTCTTGTTTCGAAAATGGTGAGTAATTTATTGTACCAAAAAAAAAAAATTAATAATACTACATTCTGTTTACTATACCTCCGTATAACGAGCACAAACAGAGCTTTCTTCTCCTTTTGAAAGGTATTGAAATCCCAAAAAATTTCAAATTAAGAATGTGCAATGCTATGATAAAGCCAGTTCTAAGATCTGGCTGTGAGACCTGCACGCTACCCTAGAAAAGCGTTGAAAGAGACTGAGACAAAAATCTTTCGCACGATAACCGTAGCTTTCTAGGATCAGAATACTCTCTCATGGAGAACAAGACAAATAAAGAACTGCTTACAGAAACTAATCAATCAATATTCTATGGTATGAAGGCATGGAGATGTCCGGAGATTTAAGATGTCCGGGGCATGTAGGTCGTATCAATCCACCTACAAGCCTTTACGTAACAATGAATGCTTTAATGGAAGACAAAAGACCAGGTGTAAGGCCAGAAAGCAGATGGATAGATAGAATCAACAAAGATGCACTAGAGCTGAAGGTAGATAACTGAAAATAAATAGCCCAAGACAGGCAGAGATGGAGCAGGCTTGTTAAGGCGGCAAAAGGTCTACATGGTCTGTAATGCCAACAGAAAAAAACTCCATTCTGTAACAAGTAAGGACATTAATAATAGTAATAAATCAGTGCATTCAAACCATATTTATAATAAATACGAATAAATTAAATATAAAAAAAAGCATAAGAATAATACCAAAAATAAATAAATGTAAACAATAACATTAATTAATAAAAACAACGACTTTCATACAGACATACTTATATCAAATATTTACAAAATTCATTCATACAGAAAAATTCTGAGTCAAGCCTATCTTCCTACTGGTGGAAGGAAAATCAGGACTCTAAGAGATCCCAGCGCCTCTCTCTCAACCGCATCACTGGCATTAATGAGTAATGGTGGCTGAGCGGATGCGTTATAACCACAGACGGACATGGCTGGAGTGAAGAATCTGACCCTAACTCCAATTATGATTATTCACGAAATATCTCTCGACCATTGCCACTTCGGGATTTGTACTTTGCGTTCTGATAAAATTTGGAGAACGGATATGATCTAGAACAAATGGGATATTAGGTCACGGTGTAAGGACTCAGGGGAAACCTACAGATCCTTCTGTCAGCCGGAAACCTACAGAATCAGAATATTTCTGTATGAATGAATTTTGTAAATATTTGGTATAAGTATGTCTGTATGAAAGTCGTTATTTTTATTAATTAATGTTTCTGAAACCGCATGTCGGAAATTTGACCCAATCGCAATGCTTTCCTTACCTAGCATAGGTAGGAAATTAAAAAAGGGGGGCTTACAAAAATACTGAACCATTTGACCTATATAACCTCGTTATTTTGACTTTTTGGGGGGTTGAGGTCACGCAAAACTGATCAACATTTGTGTAGGCCACCTTTTTTTGCGACTTTGTGATCATATTATCTCATGATTCAAATGGAAAGTGAATTCATTCATTTACTTCATGAGTTTTTAGTATCTAATTAAATAAACAAAGTTTGCCGAACTTCAGATTAAAACGTCCCAGATCCGAGAATTCTGAAAATAAAATATTTGTAGGTTACAACGAGATTAAACTATTTACGAAGTTTTTGGTAAAAAATAATTAGATAAAACAGGACCTGTGCCACAAACTATTTTTTTTTAAATTTTATTTTTAGTTTTTAATGTTTACTAACGCTTTGTTTCTAAATTCTTCACTAATCCATACCAAATGAGTGAATTTTGTTTAATATATTATTCTTTTGAGATTTGTAAGAATGTTAGGTATACTTTTCTCTAATGTTTGATAAAGGAATCGAAGCTTTATATTACGAAACATTTTGTTTTAGTATCAAATTAGTTTGTTGTATTGATTTAAAATGGTTTAGAGAATATGTAACTATAATTATTACTTCTTTCTTCTGAAAAGCCATATTTTTAAGCTGAAATAAAATTTGTAATTTAGCCGTTCTGTTCTTCTTCTCTCATACAAATGCATTATAACCGATTTTATAAATTATATTTTAAATTTTATGGTGCGATAAAAAGTATTTTGATGGGCCGGATTTAAGGTTTGAGTAGCAATAATTTTAATAATAAATGTAAATTGAAAATAATAAACCAAAAATTTTTATAATAATGTTAAATAGTGTTCTGACTTTGATAAAAGTTTCTTCGTTTTTTTTAGGAAATATAAATACCTTTAAAATATCTAATTATAAAAATTACAAAAAAGTGTATACTTTTGTGTTATTTCGACTTCTAATTTCACCAACCATCGTACCTTTGTTCCAGCTTATTTTCGTTAAAGTGTATTATATAGATAAATTTAAAGGGCATCGAGAAGATTACTTAAGCCAAGTTTCATTGAAATCGGTTCATTCGTTTAGGCCCTACAGTCTATAGCAACACAAGTTTTTCGGCCGCCATCTTGAAACGAAAAGGCGGATGTCGATGTTGGTGGATCATCCTCGGGCGACCTCTGACTTTGATTCCAAATTTTTAAAAATCGGACCATTAGTGTAGGAGAAAATACGGCTAACAAACAACAACAAATTTTTTAATCGATTTTCAAATTCTGCATATACTTAAATGTAAAACCTCAAATTCTGCAGGGAGTTAAGTTTCTGAATTTTTCGGACGATTACAATGGTTCATTATTAAAAAAAACAAAGTAAAATTTATTTATTTATCCATTATATTTACCATACTTAATTATTAATTTAAGATATGACTACTCACTGTTTGATCCCTTGCTATTGTCGTCAAATAAAACACTATCGCTCAAAAATCTGGATGAGCCACTGGTGACATAAAAAAGTAACAGGATAGCCACATAATGCTTCATTTTTATTCAGTATACAAGGTTCCAATCAATTTACATACGTAATTATAGGAATATTTAAATCCCTGTATAAACGTGTTTACTCCTTAATTCTCTGCACATTTAGATTACCAGTGATGACGTAATGCACTGATTTATTTCATAAAAAACTTTATTTGCAAAATTGAATTATCAGAGAAGTGGAGTAATAAATGTATTATTTTAGTAAATCTGTTTTTCATTTAAAAATAAAACATTCTATAACACCTAAGAGAAATAATTACTAAAGTTATATGCGATATATTTATACTACGTATATTAGTAGTCCGAGAGCCCGTACAAAACAATTGTCATTATCTGAAGATAATTTTGTAAGTTAATTTTTAATATTTATAACATTTATTTTTAAAAAATAAGTCTGCCAATTGGATAATTTGTCGGATTATGTTAAAGAATTAGCTCGGATCGATACGGAAAATGCGGGAAAAGATTTTATTTTTTCAGCTTGTATATATGAGTTTCTAAAATTGCTAACGCGGTCCACAAAGGGAAAACTTTTTACAACAAAAAACACAACAGATATCTTCGATAATTTTTTTTTGTGTTTGCCCATATAGCTCCTAAACTGAAAAAAGTGAATCTAAACTTATGGTATACTATGGTCGATAACCATGATCAACGAACGCTAATTTTTATCGAATATATCAAAAAATGTGACAAATTCCTAAAAAATGACGTTGCTTGAAAATGAGTTATCTAAAATAAAAGATACATAGAATAAAATTACAAACAGGTTTAATATAGGGCACCCACTTCTCTCGAAATCGGTTATCTCCCGATGGCTGGAAATTGGTAAGAATGGTATGTTTGATTTACAACATTTTAATCTTATAGGTGTCTATTGAGCAGTCAACGAAAGATTATAGAAAGAATTAGTGGGGAAACAAATATTGACTTTAGGATGTCACAAAGTCAAAAATTCAATTCCTGCCATTGCCTTCTATATCCCCTTTTCGAGCACTCATTGGTTCACTAACTCATCATTATTTTTTTTTAGAGTCTTCTATTTAATGACTAGACCTCTTTTTTACTTCTCAGCGACAAAAGATTTTAAGAAATGAGGTGTCATAAAAAACAGAATTTCAAGAACGAATAATAATAATATAATAATCAAAAGCTTAGAAACCCCGAAGGTTCGATGCCGACACCAACAATCGCTTGTCACACACCTCCCTCCACCGTTCGCCGTCCAAACCCAGTCCCTTCAGATCGGCTTTAATGCAATCTTCCCACCTTCGCTTCGGTCTACCCTCGGACGCTTACCATTCGGCACAGCAAATATTAACCTTTTAGGAATTCTCTCGTTACTAAGCCCAACAACTTTACAAGCCATTTGATTCGCCGCGATGAAATTACCTCAATTATATTACCCGGATACAGCTCACGCAATTCGGCGTTGTGTAACCGTCTGAACTCTCCGGTTAACTCATCCTTCTTCGGTCCGAATATTCTACGCAATACTTTATTTTCAAAAACCTTAAGACGCTGCTCATCCCTTAATGTAAGCGGCCAAGTTTCGCATCCATAAAGAACTGTAGGTGAGATAATGGTTTTATAGATTCTAATTTTTAAGTTCCGGGACAAGAGGCGCGAGCTAAGTAGTTTTGTCACAGAAAAATAACAAGCATTTCCCGCCTTCAGTCTAACCTTAATCTCTTCTTCAAATTCGTTTTTTCTAGTTATCTTAGACCCTAGATACCTAAATTTCTTTACCTGTTCAAATATATTACCATCTATATCGACATCAGCAGTAGTTTCGCCATTTTTGCAGCTAACCATATATTTTGTTTTATCCGCGTTTTTTTTCGACTCCCAGCTCTTCACCGGCTTTCTTTAACGTTGTCATATTTAGTTCAAGAACGAATGCCAATAATGAATAACGAATATCAATAGCAGATATATAATTTTCCCAAATTAAAAACTTTACACACATTATATTTCCCTCATCGGTCCTAAGTTACCGTCGTAATATTCTTTAAATCAGTCACACAGTTTAGAGTAATATATATTTACGTGATTTACATTCAAAACTTTGCTAAAGATGAGGTCTCTGGCTCCAGAACTACTGCATCATGCGATGCTAGTGCCTAGCATATATCATTGGGCATTTTATACCTATTGCAGAATTTATTTTATTTTATTTCTTTAATATCCTTTTAATGTTTTTTTTTTCTTTTTCTTTTTACAGGTATTTTATATATATTTTTTTATTCTTCTATTGTATATATATTTTACTTACAAGTTTTCTTCTTATTTCTCAATTTGTTTACAGGGTGTTTCAGGGTTAAGTGGCAAACTGCACAAATGAACTAAGGACCTCAAAACGAGAACAATAACATTCATATTAAATGTTGTTGAAAGTATGTCCGCAGACGCTTTGTTTAGGAGATGGATTAGAATACTAATAAAAATATAGATAACCTTTTATCCCTAACTGTATAGAAACTATTGACAACATAAAGATTAATACTATTGGGAATTAGCAATGGGAACTCTCAATAACATTTATCAGTTTGTAAGAGGCTTTCGCAAAATACAGCACCTAATTGTCTCAAATTAGATATTATCCGACTATACGAGGTTTCCCATAAGTAGGAATTTACATCAAATTAGAAAACTGACATCAAGATCTAATAAAAAGTACATATAAACAATTGTCCAATTTTCATCAGAAAAGTTGTTAACCTAAAATTTGTGTTTTTTTTTAAGTGGGTCGCATTTTTTTTTGAATAGGAAGCAACAGCTTAAAAAATATTTGATTTAAGTAATTGAACATTACTCCATAGTAATTTATACGAAATTTACTTTAAACAGAAGTAGAGTTTGTCATTGTTAAAAATATTTAAAGATGGCTACAGAGTAGACAAACACAGCTAAGTTCCGTTAAAATAAAACATAAAATATTAGTGATTTTTTTTTATCACTCTTTAACTGTACTGCATTTACTCGATTTATAAAAAAGCTTTTTCGTTTAATAAGCTTTAAGTCCATATTAATTAAGTCGAGATTTATTAGGAAAAAGTTATGTAAAGAAATGGTGTGATTTTCTATCCAGTCACCTAAAAGTACCCGTGTTTTCAGCAAAAATGGCTACAATTAACTGTTGAAAAGTTTTTTTTTCTTGTTTTTTATGATTTTAAATGTTTTGTAATAAAAAAAAAATATTTATAAAAATAAAATATGTAAAAATAATGATTTTCAATTTTTTTTCAGAGAGAATGGTTATGAAAATGTATTTTTTTCCACCAGATTTCTGTCGTGGGAATCGATGTATGTTAATAAGTGACAAACATAATGTTTCTAGCCTTAATATTTAAGTTATCATGAAAATAATTGAAGCAGTCAATAGGTTTCTTTCTTTATCTCAATAAGATTCGATTAATTAAGATAAAGATTTCCTATGACGGAAATCTTGGAGATAATCGCAATTTCATAACCTCTTTAAAAGTAAAATATTTTAAGATCATTATTTTTAATTTTTTTTTTTTATTTATAAATAAAATGTGTTTTTAGGCAATAATGTTTATTACAATATATCGTGGAAAAACAAGAATTTTAAGCTTTGCAACAGTTAAATGTAATCATTTTTGCCAGTAGTTTAAGGTGACTGAATAGAAAATCATATTTCTTTACACAACATGAGCTGAATCTCAAAAGTTTTCCTAATAAACCTCAACTTAATTAACATGGACTTAAAACCTTTAAAACGAGGAAGTTTATCGGAAAAAGAGGTATCTTTAGTATACTAGGTAAACTATTAAAACAATCGCGAATATTTTATGATTATTTAAAGCAGAATTTAGATTAGTTTAGGAGCTTAAAAGTGCTCTGGAAGGGGAGGGGTCGAGGGGGGAGGAGAGGATGGGAGGGGGTGACCGAACGCCTAACGTGTGTGGTTACAGCCCTGCGCGTTGCGTTGCAACCTGATAACCAAAGTTGGAGACAATAAAATTACGAGTTCTCTTCACGGTTCCTTGGGGTCTTTTAAATCTCCCGTCTCATCCTCTGGCCCGGAAAAATACCCGTATGCCTAGAAAGACGTGGTAGGAGAGGAAAACAAAATAAAATTTCAAAAGTGCTGTATAAATGGTATTCCGTGGTACATACCCCTTTTTACCCCTGAAGCTATTTCACTTCTTTTTTAATTTTTCTTGGATCCTTAAGGTTATTCATTAAGAGTTTTCTGCCAGTGACGAATTCCCATATATTGTCATTATTTTCGGTTGAGTTTAAGATAGAACTGCAAGTCGGCGAAAACTCGATCATTGTTTGCGGTGGAACCACTTCCCCGAGTTTTTGAGTTCCAATTTCTTTGAGCTTACTCTTCGCAGTTCAGAATACGACGAAAATCAATTTTTCACTGTTACCTTATGCAAAGAATTAATAAGGTAAATTTACAGAGAAAATAAATTAATCTCGTTATCAGTAATCACCATATCCAAAATTTGATTAAATTGAAAAATTTAACTCAGTTATAATAAAAACTTAAAATTATTTTACTTATATTATATTATAATAATTCTAATTGTTTCCCTTCTCCTATAAAATTAAATGATTTAGAGTAACTAAATTGTCCCTCCAATACATCAATTATCCTGAATGAATTTCAAAAGTTTTCATTCCAGAATGAAACTATTTATACCTCATGAGAACATTTACTTTTCGTCCAATAATATAAAGTTGATATTATTGACTAAAGATTTGTTTCCACTTATATATACACATATATACACTTATACATCAATTACATATCTTATACCTTTCATGATAGTGGCAATCAGCAGATTTGTCGTGATAAATTAAAGATTTGATATTCATTTTTTGCCACTCGTCATTACCTTTTTCGTTTTTAAATTTTAGAAATAAATATTTGTAAAATCTTCAAATTTCTAAAGATATATGGATCCATTCCACTACTCATAAGCCGTAAAATCAATGTTATAAGGACTTTCTGATAAGTCGATTTTTCAAAAAAATTATCTGTGACATTCAAAGTATTTTGTTTTTTGAGCCAGAATGTTATGAGACAAATACATTTGATGTATTTGTTGATACATGTTATGAGACTATTTCACGAGTGTTAATTATTTCAACGCAGATTATAAGTAAAATAAGTTTACTTATTGAAAACTTTTATTCTAAATTTTTCACAACTGCGGTACATTCTCTAAATCGTCGATAGTTTACTATCGAAGCTTCAATCAATAATTAACATCGTGATGTTGAATATTTTCTTTATGATTTATAGTGATATATATTTGTTTTGTGAATTTTCTTATTAGTGATATTTTTTTTTTCTCTTCTTTTTTGCAGATATTATAATTTAGAGGTATGGAATCCGATAAGAATATTTCTTATGACGAATCAGATGAAAAGGCTCCTTTCTCCGAAATCAGTGAGACAGATTCTCAATATTTAACAAGGATAGTTCTCTTCAAAAGCGCCATAGAAACTCTGCCCCCGGATCGGCAGGAAACTCACCTAATAAAAAAAATCTGCTAAAACAAAGCAATCACTCAAAGAGAATAAACAATCAAAAACTAGCCTTAATAATAATTCAACAATGAAACCTGACACCACTAGCGGATCCAGTATTTAATTTTGGGAGGGCTTCAGCCCGAAAGATTTTTTTTTCATATACCTATAACGACAATTAATTTGAAAAAAAATAACAAAATTAATTACCTATATGAAATGGTGTTTAAGTGGTTCTTGAAGTCCTATTAAATACAACTACACGAACAAGTATACTTTAGGAGATAGTTTTTAGTATTTTTTTCTGTAAAACATGGTTATATTTTACCTTTTTGGAGGGAGGAGGCTTCAGCCCGAAAGGCCCCTCCCCGTAGATCCGCCTGTGCATGACACTAAACCACCTACTAGCACATCCAGCAACAATTCTGTTGCAGCAAATAATAAAAGTAACGAAATTACTGAACCTAGGATTTTCACCGAACCAGAGCATATATGTATCCGATATATGTATCTAATTTGATCGGACCGACCAACTTCCGTTGATTTTCTTGCCTCAATGATATAAATGTTATTATATATATATAATGCTGTTCTCCGAACCACATATTTTCCTAACCCTTAGAAATTAACCATTGCCGAAATTATACCTAAACCCATAAAGCCGCCAGAACACCGACTTTCTTGCCGTCCTATCTCTCTTTTACCCACTATTGGAAAAATCCTGGAAAAACTCATCTTAAAACGCCTGTATCCCATCCTAGACTCTAAACGAATTATCCCAGATCACCAAATTTGGATTCAGCACATTTCACTCCACTATTCAGCAATACCAACGTGTGGTAGACGTAGTTTCCTCTGCATTGGAGCGCGGAATGTACTGCACGGGAGTCTTTCTCGACGTTGAACAGACGTTTGATAGAGTCTGGCATCCGGCATTTGGCATGGACTGTTGTACAAACTCCGTAAATTTCTACCAACTACATACTTCATCATTATCCGTTTCGACGTTACTGAAGGATACTTCAAAGTAAATCGTAAGAAAGCTTATTCATCTCCTTTTTCTGTTTGCTGGCGTTTCTCAAGATAGTATCCTAGGTCCTATTCTTTTCACAATTTATACAGGAGACATCCCAACCTATCCTAATACTGTCATAACCGCCTATGCCGATGACATGTTTATCCTATCAGTTAATAACAATCCATCTAATGCATCCCAAACAATTCATTCACATATCACAATTCTTGAAAAATGGTGTCAAAACTGGAGGATTGAAATAAATTCCAACGAATCTCGTCAAGTTACCTTTACTTTCGTAGTAAATCTGTGACCTCCTGTCCTACAGTATCCTTTAACAATACCCCACTTATCCAAGTTGAACAAATTCGATACCTAGGACTCCACTTGGACAAACGCCTCACTTGGAAACCTCATCACAGACTGAAACTACAGGAAACCTCCCGACGTTTTCGACTACTGCAGCACTTACGAGACAAACGCTCTAAACTTCTAACTATTTACAAAAGACTCATACATATTACTATAATAAGGCCTATTTGGATTTACGGGATCGAGCTTTGGGGTTCTACTAAACAATTTGGCCCAATCCAGATACCTATCCTTCTATAATAAACCTCAGAACTATTCTGATCCTCTCGTTTCTAGCCTTGGTTTCTCTTCGATCCCTGATAATACTCCGAGACGTCTGAAAAGAAGATCTCATATTGTAAATACATTTTCGAATAATATATGTAGGTAGTTTCTCAACAATTGTTTTCATGTTATTATTTCCTTTATCACATTTACTAAATGTATTTTTATTCTTAATTCAATGTAAATATCATAAATAAATAAATTAAAAAATATATATATGGAGCGTAATTCAATACTTGAATGGGTGTATTTCATTTATTGTTATACAAATATTGATTTAGTGTTGACATGCTGTATAATATCAGATTTAATTAAAAATGCTTCTGTGAACTTTTAGAACATTAATATGATCGTCCTTTAAATCAGTTTTCCATAGAATGTACAGGTCTATAAAAAAAAAGTAAATTATAAAAAAATCGAATACTACGAAGTTTTTATTTTGTAGAAAAATCATATATAAAACAATATTTCTTACCCACTATCGCCGCTGCAAGATAAATTACGTCCAAATTTAATTATCATCAATCATATCTCCGGGATTCTCAAAATGGTGTTTGAGAAATTGATTCTGGGAGATCAGGAGAATTTGATTATCGGGGTGTCTGGGAACTGGATTGGAGTGTCTGGGAACTTGATGAGGGGGCTGTTGGCGATTCTTATCCTTATCTTCCTCATAAGGATATACCATTTCAGGATCATCGGGTACCAAATACTCCTCATCTTTATCTCTCTCATTTTCTTGCTCTTGTTCTTGCTCTTGTTCTTGCTCTTGTTCTTGTTCTTGTTCTTGTTCTTGTTCTTGTTCTTGTTCTTTTTCTGGTTCTTTTTGTATCTCTTTTTCTTTCTTGTGATCGAAAAGTCCGAAAAAACTGGCAACTACATCTTTCATATATCCAGGCTCTTGGTAAACAATTGAATCTATTGAAAAAGAAAAAAAAAATGTTCAATTAATTTGTGTGTTCAAGTGATTCTATCAATAGTTCTAGGTTAATATGTTAGCAATATATGTATTATTCACAGTTTTTATTTCATCAATATTACCGAAGGTAATACCGAGAGTATTTTTTTTAACACTTGAGTTGGAATGAGATTTTGATTAGAGATTTGATGATTTGAGATCTGAAGAAAAAATATAAATAAACTAAAAAAAAATAAATGTAAATAACATAAAAAAAAAATTAAAAATAAATATTAATGATAATAAATTATTAGAAATGAATTAATAGAAAAAACAAGCCGACGAACACAAAACATCTTGTCTCCACGTGTAGAAGACAAAGCGAGGCTCTAAGAGATCCCAGCGCTTCTCTCAGCCTCGTCATCAGCATTAGAGGCCATTGGAGACTATGAGGGATAGTAAAATTAGATTTCTAATTAACAAAAGAACCGAAGGAAGGCAGGAAAAAAAGGCAGTGGATCAGCTGATGCGAAGGTTGTTTTCTCCAATTGTCTCTCAGTTTTCGCCTATTTTTCAGCGGAATCTCTCTGGTTATTCACTAAATACAGTTCAAGTGTACATCAGAGCAGTTGATATTTGCTGTCTGACATTTTATTTTTATTTGTATTTTTTTTGCTTTTTATTCTCTTATGATAAGCGGTATCATCACCAAGTGATGCCCAGTAAGGTGTCCACTAAAAGGACTCGACCAGACATCGTTAGTAAACCTCGTGGTTTGCCAGCCAAACAAAGAACTCGTCGCTGCGTACCACAAAAACCTTAAATAACCACAGTGAACATTTCAGATCCAGAACCGCAGCCCTAAACAGCCCTAACCACAAAAAAATGGTTGAAGAATCCCCATTCTTTGCTCCAAATCCGTTCGAAGTGTTTCAAAATGACAGATAAGTAATGGAATCTGCAGCAATACCCCGGGAACCAAGGCCTCCTCCGATATTGTTAAAAATTTCCAGCTATTGTGTACCCAACTAAACGACATCTGCTCTGGCAGTTATTCTTACCTTAACAGGACCAACGATACAAAAATAATACCAAATATTGCTAAAATCTACCGAAAAATAGTAAAGTACTTGTCAGAAACGTATGCAAATTTTCACATGTACCAGCTGAGGCAGGAGAGATCGTTACGAGTGGTGATAATAAATTAGCACTCCTCAACCCCAACTGAAGTCATAAAAGAAGAACTAACGACGCTTGGTTTCAATGTACTCCAGTTAACCAACGTTCTGAAGGAGAATTAGGAGAAGCCAGGAGTAAAAAATAAAGTTTCACTACCTTTTTTTTCGTAGACCTAAAGCCATCATCAGGTATCGAGAAACTTTATGAAATCAAGAGATCGTGCTATCGTGAAGATAGATAAGCCGTACCCCAAAAAGGTAATCGTGCAATGCCACAAATGCCAGGCGTACGGCCACACGAAGACTTATTGCCACCACTTGCCGCTTTGCTTGAATTGTGGTGAACAACACAAATCACCATACTGATACAAGATCCTGCAGTTTGTGCCCTAAGCCTAGAATGACACCCGGCCAACTACAAATTCTGCCAAACTTATAATAAAACCTCAAATCCAGATACCAGAAGATCCGGCTTCAAGATGAGACAACCAGACCAAGAAGAGAACCTTCTAGAATAGGGAATAATAATATATTCTCCGAACTACTTGGAAGTAAGAACCCACCTGATAAATGTGAAGCCCTGCCGCAGCAACTACCTTAATATCCTGTTCATCCTAACATACTTAACCATTGAAAACCTCATATTTCTCCACTATCATATGCAAAAGGTCTCACTAGTTTGTTGTCATCACTCCTCATTGAATTCAAATAAATGGCTGCCTGACTCATATCACTCCTTACAAATCTCGTATCTCAGCTCATCCCTCCTGTAAAAAATTCTTAAATGACTCCCATCAAACACATATATATTCTCCTTCTGAATGCGAATGGTGTTAGAAATCACGTCGACGAACTAACAGCTTTACTATTAGCCATAATTACAGAAACTCGACTGACCAGAAAAGAGCTTTTTAAAATTCCACAGTACGTATCATACCGTACTGACCATCCTGACGGTGGAGCACATGCCGGTAATGCGGTCATCGTACACCAATCTCTCTCTTATCATTTCCCCTTATTACCTACTCAAGATTTCCTACAGTCAACCGCTATTGTAATCAAAACCTTCTGCTTTCCGGTCATTCTTGCGTCAGCATATTGTCCTTCTAACAGAACAATATCCAAAGTCCACTTCAGTTCTCTTCTCAACTCCTTAGGTCATCACTTCATCCTGGGTGTAGACTTAAATGCCAAGCATCAATAATGGGGTTCAAGAACCACGGATTCTCGTGGCAGATCATTGCTGTCTGCACTCAATTCCCAACGTTTCGGCCTCCTTCCACCCAACTCACCTACCTACTGGCCAACTGATACTAATCGCAATTCTGACATCCTTGATTTTTTTATCCACAGTGGTTTAGGTCCCATCGATCATTCGCTTACCCGTCTTGACAAACTTTTCTCAGATCATAGTCCATTAATACTTCAATTATCAATAGCTCCTACCGTCCTTCATAAGATGCCCAGTTAACTTCAAACTCTTTCATTAAATCCTTTCCAATAACATTAACCTCAGAATAACTTTGAAAAACCCAGAAGACCTCGATAATGCCGAACATTCCTTTACCACCACTATTCAGCAAGCAATCTGGACTGCTTCCTCCCCAAATCTCTCATCCGAAATTCCTAAGAAAAATATTTTACCTCAATACCTGCTAGATCTAATTCACATCAAACGCCGTGCCAGAATATTATGGCAACGTAAAAGACACCCCACCGATCGCTGCTCTTATGATTATTTCACTAAACGATTAAAGCAGGAATTGGCCACCTTCAAATCACAATCCTACCTTACTTCCCTCTATGTTCAAAACAATTCTCTATGGAAAATCCTAAAATACCATCATATTTCCCATCCCCTCCGTCGATAGGATGGCTCCTGGGCAGCGCCTGATGAAGACAAAGCTGAAGAATTTGCCAGACACACCTCCTTAACATTCACCTCTCATTCGGAATCCAACTACACCCATAACACAACAGTAGAACTCCTTACATCACCCATTCCACTTTCCTTGCCCCCTAAAGCAGTTAATCCCTCTGAGGTCAAACAACACATTCAAAAACCTCCTCTCTGTAAATCTCCTGGATTTACCTTTTGTACCTCTCAAACCCTCCGACAACTGCCTCCTGAAGCTGTTATATTTCTCAGATACTTATACAATACCATCCTGAGAACCACCCACACCTTTGTGGAAACATTCTGCTATTATACCATTTCCAAAACCAGGCAAACCCCCCAACACCTCGACGTCATACATACCAATTAGTCTACTTCCAATCCTCTCAAAAACCTTTGAAAAGATCTTCCTGAAACGAATCCTACCCTTGATATAATCCCAAAATCTTCCTTCCCAGCAGTTCGGATTTCGTTAAGAACACTCTACAGTCCAGCAAGAGGACACCGAGTGGTCGGTCATATTTCCACAGCGCTGCAAAGCAAGCAATATTACTGAGGTGCATTTTTTGACTAGCACAAGCTTTTGACCAGGTATGGCACCCCGGGATTCTTTCCAAACTGAAAACCCATCTACCCCAGTCCTTGCAACTTGTCCTCGCAACTTGTCCTCTCTGATCGCACCTTTCGAGTTCGCTGTGGTACAGAATTGTCCAATTACTACCCAGTTGAAGCCGGTGTTCCTCAAGGGAGCGTCTTAGAGTTTTCTTTTTCAGACACAGTCCGGTATCTTGGCTTTCTCTTAGACCGAAGACTAACGTGGAACCCACATACTAGACTTAAAAGACAAGAACTTAACAGACGATACGGCCAATATGCAGAATACTGAATAGAAAATTTCAACTTTCAATTGACAAAAAATTACTGATGTACAAGACAATCCTGAAACCTATTTGGACCTACGGACTTGAACTTTGGGATACAGATAAATTTTCTAACATCAAACGCATCCAATTTTTTCAGTCAAAAGTCCTCCGTACAATAGTTGATGCTCCGTTCTATGTAACCAACAAAACCCTACACCATGACCTTAATGTTTTCATGATGTTTCATGACCTTAATGTTTTCCCTAGACCTTATCCCTGAAACTTTTTGCAAATTCCATCGGAACCTTAACAATCATCCAAATCCGCTTGCACAATCCCTATCTAGCTCCACTCATCCCTACAAACCTCCTCGAAGGTTGAAGAAGCATTGGCCCAGAGATCTTTTGAAGTACATAACTTGGAATACTGACAGTGGTCAAATTCTCCACTCAAGAGTGTATGTGGCTAAAACGCTCTCGCTCAATCTCTACTGGCTTTAACACAAGTGTCGCGTTTGAGAGAGTAGCGCAAGGATCTCTTGAAGTCCTGGCAAAATGGAAAATATGAGTGTATTAATACCACATATGAGTGTATTAATACCAAAGGACAACTGTCATTTTTAAACAGTTGGTAAACAAATTTGTCTGTAAAATGGCTTCGATTTAAACTAATTGTAATGATTTTTTTTTCATAATTCAACTTGAACATTCTTAATCATCAGAAACAGTCTGAATTGAACTTATAAAACTAAAATTGACTTTATCTCCGCTTTCAGAAAATGACAGAAATCCGTTCTTTGATATCAAGCCTCTCATATATTTTCATATTTAATTTTATTTATTTTTTTATATTTAATTTATTGTTTAATGTTCAACTTTGTGATGATAATTAGATGATAAATAAAAATAAAAATGTTTGGTTGTTTGAACTCTTAAATCTCAGAAAGTTCTCTACCCATTGCCCTGAAATTTTGGCTTAACGTTGCATTTAAATACGCGCATGGTTTAATATATCTAATATTATAAAATATACCATGAAACTATACATAATCAT